TGAGTGCCCACCTTCCTTATGCCATAGCCAATGGGAGAGACACAGGGATCCTGGGAGAGGGGAAGGCTAGGTCTGAAGGGAAGGAGGGGCTGAGAGCCAGGGCTTCCTGTCAGCTGGGCAGGAGGGGTTCTTTCCCTCCTCCTTCCCAGGCAGTCTCTGGGGACCCCTCCCAACTCCAGGCACTAGGGGCTATACTGGCAGTTCCTGTCAGCTCCATGAGGCCATTTCTACCTCCTGTCTACCCACAGGGATATGGGGTGAGGGGGAGTCACACCAGTATCTCCCCAGAAACAAGCAGAGGGTAGTTGGGGTCATGTGTGAACCCTGGGGCAGCCTAGGCACTGACCATCCTGAGAGACACAAAACCACTTATCCACCGCTCACCACTGACAAACCGGAAGCGACCACAACATATGTACATCCAGACACAGGATCTCAGTGACACTGCCCACATGCTAGACCTTACTGCAGTGGCACACACCCAGAGATCTGCTGCCTACCTTGCATTCCCAGCAGGCTCCAGCAGTGCCCCAGCACCCAGACATCATCTGCAGACCGCACCTCCCAACATTCTTCCAGCCTGCTGCGCTCCCTCCCTCCTCCAATAGCTCAGAGTTCAAGTCCCACAATTGACAGAGAAAACAAGGAGCAAGAGGAAGGGATGGGAAGACACTATCATCCTCTTGGGACCCTGGGGTCAGAGCCAATGAGACTGATCAGAGAAAGAGATGTGTGGCTCCTTCCTGACCCACCTCAGGCAAAGTCCATACTGGCTGCACCCTGCAGTGCCACTGGGCTGGGGCCAGGGGCTGGCTGCCTCCCTCCACAGCTCTCCTTGCCCCTGGCTGGGCTCTCTCCCTCTCCCCCTTCAGAGCAGCCCTCCCTGCCCTCTAGCTCCAAGCTCTGGCTCTCACATCCTCAGCTCTTGGAAGCCTGACTCACTGTTTCCCCTCCCTCCCTCACTCTCCTGGCAGCAGTGCCTCCCCCTCCCCTGAGGGGGCTCTGGCCACAAGGGTGCCTGCTTGCTGTTCTCCCCAGGCTCCAGCCCCCCTCTGTGCCGACGAGGCCCCCTGCTGCTGATCTACTTCAGCTACAGTGGCTGGGTTGCCACAGTTATCCATGACTCTGGGCAAGTGGCTCCCCTCTAGATTTGGGTTCCTTCTGTCAAGTGGGAAAGGAGGGGATGCCAATGGATGATGACACACGCTTGTGGGGTGCTAATGTCCCCCACTTTTATAACATGGGTGTCTCCTATCACAGGGTACCTGCCAACCTGTGGAGTGTTCCACTGAGCGCAGGCCCCGCCCACAGGTCCCAAGAACTTAGCTTGATTCCCAGACAACTGAGAAGGACAGCGAGGAAAAGCTGCCCTGACTGGAAGCAAAGTCCAGACCCCTGGGAACCACCCCCCCATCCTGTGGGATTCTTCCCTTTTCTTCACCCCACCTGTCCCCCCCACTTCCCAGAGACATTTGTGCTTATCTTTCCACCAAAAAACAACCCTGGCACTCAATCATGGCCCGAAGCCCTCAGTGCCTGAGTCTGACTCCATCTAGACAGTGAATGGGACATGCCTAGGCCCTCTGAGGTTCCTGGGGCCCACCACAAAGCCGCCAGATCCCGGCATTCCTTGCCGATTTTCTCTCTCACTCTCTTCATTGGCTATGGCCTCTATCTTTCCCTCTCCAGCAGCATGTGGTTGTCTGGGTCTCCTCCCCCACCCCACTCTGTCTCCCTGGGGGGCCCATCTGCTGGCATTAGCAACCATATCACCCTTGCTTTAACCAGCAGTCCCCAGCTCCACCAAACCTAGGCTTTGCCCCTTCTCTGTGTCCCAAGAGATCCCAGCCGCCAGAGACAGAGCTTGGCTCCATCCCATAATAGTGCATCTGCTTGACCTCACCCAGCCAGACCAGAAGGGCCAGGGCATCTGGTACACAGGCATGGCACCCCCTGGTCTTGGGAGTCTGGCAGAAGACATGGAGCTTGCTCAAACTCCCCCGACACCCCTCTCATACACACACATGCACGCATGCACACACACACACAAGCACACTTGCACACACACACACAAGCACACTTGCACACACACACACAAGCACACTTGCACACAAGCAAAAGCACACAAGTAGACCTGGGGGTGGTACCGAGCAAGGAGAGGAAATAACCAAAATCAAGGTTTGCTAGAAGGAAAGCCCTGTCCAATGGGGAACAGAGGCATGCTTCAGACTGATGCTCCTCTGGGGGTCTACCAGGGCACCCACCCCAACTGTCTTCCGCCAGAGTCTGCCCCCAAGTCACAATCAGGTGGAGCCCCCACCCCTTAACATCTTCCAGAATCCAACCGTAACCTCCCTACTGTATCCCTCTATTTAAATCAGCAAGCAAGAGTCTTCTTCCTGCCAATCTCTATGCACATGGGGGGGCGGGGTGTTGCCCCCCCATCACCAAAGGCCCCATCAGTTGGGCTGGGGAACAATATGATATAATCCTGGAAGCCTCACACATTAAAACCGAGAAACTAAACTGCTCACCCACATTACCTGGGGGTGTCGGGGGCTCCCTGACCCAACAACCTTGTTCCAGACCCCCCCCAACCCAACAACCATAATAACAGCAAACTCTCTTTCCCTCTGACAACAGACTTCTCCAAGCCCAGCCGCTCTTTCCATCAGTACCTCAGCCATAGATCACATTAAAAACTCACAGAGGGCAACTTAAACACATCACATTTGTTTCTCTCTATATTATTTCAAAAGTAACGGCATTAAAAATGGATTTTAGTACAGAAAATAAATATCAGCACGTGGGCCTGGAGCCCAGGCGGGGAAGAAAGCCCACCAGGGGAATGTCCCCTGAGGGCTTAGGCACAACTTAGGCACTGGCCAGGGAGGTGACTGAATGGTCAAACTGCACCCTGGGGATGCCTGGGGAGGGGGTAATGTCTGCCTTACCTGGGCACCTGCTCCAATGCCAGACCAAGTGGGAGATGAGTCACTGGTTTGGGTTGATGCCCACAGACTCCCAAAGCTCATACCCTCACTAGTCATTGCCACCTCTGAAGGGTGGCAGCTCTGGGGCCAGAAGTTCATCAGTCTCTGGGGGTTGCTCCAACTATTGACACGGGGGGGGGGGGGGGGGATGAATTCAACTTACTATCCAGTTTGATTTTCCATTACTATAAAAATAAACATACGTCTCCTCAAAGGAAGGAGATAACAAGTGGCCTGCATGCGCTACCTTGAGGGTCCCTCCAGAGCTGACCACCACAGCCAAGCCTGCCTGCTCCTCCCATGCTGGGAGGCGGGTGGACAGACTGGTAATCTTTCACTTACAGCCCTGGCTCACACAGCCATACACACCGGGCCACGCTGAACAGGAACAAGTCAACAATAGAAACACCCCAAATGCCCCTGGCAGGACTCTGCCCAGGCCTGGGCTCATGCCCCTTCCCTGCCAGCGGCAACAGCAAGAGCGGACAGAATGTGGCCACCCTGACCCGGAGGCAAAGCTTGTCCTCACACCCTGAGCTCAGCCCAGGGAGCTGGGGCCAAGTCCCGCCTGACACCAACTGGTCCAGCGGGAAACGCCTGCCCAGCCAGACAGGCACAGGCCCCCCAAGGGTCCCTCCTTGTGCTCAGGGACCAGGCTGGTGCAGCCCAGCCCTGCCTCCCAGGGTGACGCCTGGGCCCAAATTCAGCTGGCCCTGCCAGTCAGGCACTGGTGCAGAACCGAGGGCACCAGGCTCAGCCCCTCCCAGCCCAGCCCCAGGGCCCCCAAGCTGGGAGGGAGGGGAGACTCCCCACCCCTCCACATCTGGCCCTGGCCCCTAGGGTCTGCGGTAGAGAATTCCCGCCCCCGCTTCTCTCCCTCCTCCTGCTCTGTGCGATCTGTGCCCGCTGCCCGCCTCAGGGACAGCCCCAGCTCCCGCCTCCGGCCAGCAAGGCCCACATCCTTCCTCCCTCAGCTGGCCCCTTTGCCTGGCAGGAGGCTGGGGGGTCAGGCTGCTGGGGAACCCTCCCCCCAGCTCCCATCAGTTCTCATCCCCAGCCCCCAAACTCTGGGTTGCTGTCCCTTTTCCTGTAGAACAGGAAACAAGGTTATTTCCTAGACTCAGAGCCAGCCCCCTGCCCCTCTGGCTCTGCCCGGGGACCCAGACCCAACCGGGGAAGGCGCCCTCAGCCAGAAAGCAGAGATTCAGCAGCTCACACCAGCTCCCGACCTAGGGGGCTGACAGCTGTCACTCAGCACCCCACCCCCTGGGGAAGAGGGGGCCGATTCAATCAGAGCCCTAGAGGAAACGTATTGATAGGCTATTATTTATTTATTTATGCAAAAGTGAGCCGACTTTGTTCGCCAGGTAACCGGGCACGCGGCCCAACCCCTCTGGCCAGGCCGCCCCCAAATCCCTCCTCCGCCCCACACCCCCTCTGGGTCATTAGGTCCCCGCCCCTCAACTCCCAGAGCGCCAGCGGAACCTTGGGATTTGGGGGCTGGAGGGGAGGGGCGCCTCCCTCCGCAGTCTCCCCTTTTCCCAGCGTCTATCCTAAAATCCAGCCTTGTTCTCCGCTCCCACGGTCCCCCTACATCCCACCCCCCCACATTCTCAGCAAGCTGGAGAGCAAATTGCAGTTTTAAATCCAAAGGCGGAGGGAGGGGGAAGGAGGAGGGGGTGCGCGGCAGCGCTGGGCGCGCACCTCGCCCCCGAGCCGGGGGAGCCGCGGGGCGGCCAGGAAACCCGAGAACCCCCCCTCCCCGCCCCCCCCTCCCCGTCCACCTCCCCCTCCCCCTTCCCGGCGCTGCCTGCCAGGCTTCGAGCCGAGCCCAGCCGAGCCGCGGGCCCCGGTGGAAACAAAGACCGATCGCACCGCGGGCACCGCAGACACGGGGTCCGGCGGACCGGACTGGGGGCGCTGGGCCCCCCCTCAGTGAGCTGCACAAAAGAGCCTGGCCGGCCGGTCCCCAGCGGCGTCTAGAGCTGGGCAGGAGGCGCTACTTACCGGAGTGCTGGGCTGCCGGCTCCGTGGGTCCGAGCCAGGCGAGGGGTTTCGGGGGGCGTCTATCTTCCGCCAGCGGCAGCGACGCGGGCGCCCGGCTGCTGGGAAGAGGAGTCGTAGAGGAGCCCTGAGCCGCCTGCCGTCGCTGACAGCATGGCTCGCGCCTCGGCTCACATTCTCCGCCGCTAACTCTGCTGGACACGGCCCCCCGCTCCCGCGGCGCCCCCCCACCACGATCACTCCTTCGCTATCTGCGCCCCACTCGCTCCCCCAGCCGCGCACACACTCTCACAGCCCTGGACACCCCCGCCCCCAACCCCCCCAATTGCAAACCTGGGAGGGAAGGCGCCCCGCGTAGTCCTCCTGCTCCTCCTCCGCCGCCCTCCTCCCTCCCGCTCTGTCTGTCTGTCTGTTTGTCTGCCTGTCTCTATTTCTCGCTCTCTCTGCCTTTCTCTGCTCTCCGAGCTGGGTGGGAAAAGGAAATGAGGACAGAAAGCAGACGCTGGCTTTGGGTGGTGGTAGCTGGATTCCCTCTCTCCCTCCCTCCTCCCTCCTCCCCTCCCTCCTCCTGCCTTCTGCTCTCTCCGCTGCGAGCGGGGCTGAGCGCAGCCTGGCGGGTGGCTCGCTCTGCCCGCCCGCCCGCCTGTCTGTCTGTCTGGTCTGCCTCGCTCGCTCCCTCCCTCCGTCTCTCGCCCTCGCCCTGCCTGCCTGCCTGCCTGCCTGCCTGCCTGCCTGCTTCTCTCCGTCTCCACCGCCGCCGCCGCTGCCTCTGCGAGCTCGCCTTACCTTCGCTGCTCACCATCCGGAACCCCAGGGGGGAGCGCGCGCAGGGCACGCCGGGACTTGTAGTCCCCGCTCGGCCGCTCCGCGCGCTGGGCGGGCGGGGCCGCTCCCGCTGCTCCGACGGCGCGGCCCGAAGCGGACCTTGTGCCTGAGTCTTCCTTGCCTGAACGGGTCCCGGTTTATCTAGGACTGTAGATCCTCCTTAAGGGTTAGGAACATTCCCGGCGTTCCGAGGCCCCTACCCCGGGCTCTGGCTGCGCCGAGGTTGCGGGTGGTAGCGCAGGGGCGGGGTCTGAGAATGGAATGAGTGGAATAGGGCTTCAGAGGATGAGCCAAGAGGGCTGCGACTTTCTGGGGTGTCCCAAACACGTTGAGAGGGGCCGTGAAGAAAAGAGAGGACCGACACTCTCAATTTGGGAACGTTTTTCCTATCAATAGAGGCTTCTGGCGAGAAAGCCGTTCTAGAAACGCCAAACCTCCTCCGCGCTTAGTGGCCCTTCCCTTCAAACTCAGCCCTGGATTTAATTCCTCCAGGTCCTACATTTTGTTGTCGTCCAAGGGCGGCAAGGACGCAAAAATCCTGGACAACTCTTAGATACCATGCCCCCTCCCGAATTTGAGCAAGTGTTTGTACGCGGAATTCAACAGTTCTCTAGCTCCTGCTGCGGCGTGGGGGTTGGGCTCAGCACTTTCACCTACCTCCTCTTCAGGTCACATCTGTTCTCCAGCCCCTGGCTCAGGCCCCCTGCCTTGTCTACCCCACAGATGGGAATGTGCGCCGCTGAGAAAGGCTTTGTTACCCCAGGGAGGTGGCTGGACAGCCCTGAAAGGAGAATGGCTGCGGCTGCCATTTCCTGAGCACCCGGGCACCACGGAGCCGTTGAGCCTCGCAACAACCCTAGGAGCCCTTATTTCAATGGTAGCTACAGGAGTTCTGAAGCCCAGGTGTCTCGATTAGAAAGTGGTGGGTCCAGGGTCTGCCTAATTCCAAAGCTCACATACTTAACCTTTGGGCAGCGACGGAGAGTAGTGATTCCCTATATATCCCCCTTTGAGGCTGACCTTTCCCACGTGTCTGTGTGTCCTCCCTTGGCACTTGGGTAGCCAAGTGTTAGCTGAGGTTTGCAGGAGAAGTAGATGAATAATGAATGCATGATCACTGCTCTGCTACGTGTCTACTGACTGGTCCAGAGCTGATCTCGACTTCATGGCTGTGTCCGACACTCCTTTCCCCAGTAGCTGCTGGCTTAGTCCATCTTGCCTCATGTCCAAAGCTTCTCTGGCAATGCCTTACTCCTTGGTCCACCTGTTTCTGATGCCTTCTTCGGTCTTTCAGGGTAATAGCTAATCAACATGTATCCAAAGTAGATGGTGCCGTTATGCTAAACTAACCACAGCCCATTCCCACCACCTTCCCCATACCTCCACTCCCCCCCAACCCCTCCCACGGAACAACTGGAAGTTTTCCAGAAGACAATAGGAGAGTTGAAAGGTTCCCAAAGAGAATGCCTACTGATGTGGTGTCCTGCGACCTGCCGGCGAGGCCTCTGTCTAGGGGCAGTTTCTCTTACAGAGTAACCCTGGGAATCGATTATGACATTTTGGGGGTCTTGCCGTAGTTGTCTCCCTCCACCCAGCGTAGACTTTAACACGGAAGAGAGTGGGAGAAGTCCGGGTCCCCCAATCTTTAATTCCTCCTGCACCCTTACCACCCTGAGGCTCCATACTGTTGGAGTTGAGTTTAGAGAGAGGATGGGGTGGAGTAACACAGGAGGCAGACAGCCCCGGCAAAGAGGGGACTAATTGGAGTTCGGAGTTCGGGAAAAGCATGGAAGGAAGGAGAAAGAATGCTAGTTGGGTAGTGAAAAGGAAACAGAAGCTAGGCAGAATTTTCCAAGTATGCCCCTTGCACTGCCAGCTGCTTCAGGGGCTGCCTGTGGGGGCGTAGTGGTGACCCCAAAGTGTTGCAGATAACTAGCAAGGCAGTCTTCCTGAAATTTGGGGACATTTCTCTCTCTCTCTCTCTCTCTCTCTCTCTCTCTCTCTCTCTCCCTCCCTCCCTCCCTCCCTCCCTCCCTCTCTCTCTCTCTCTCTCTCTCTCTCTCTCTCTCTCTCTCTCTCTCCCTCTCTCTCTCTCTCCTTCTTTTTCTTCTTCTTCTTCTTCTTTTTTTTTTTTATGAAGCCTCTCCAAAGTATGTTGGGGGTTCCCCAAACGCCACACATGAAATATTCTGTGGGATGCTGCTGCCACCTAGTGTCCAATCTACATATCTGCGTCAGTAAACTGCGTCAAGCTGAAAAGAGCGGTCTCCAAGAGTCTTCATCTCTTTCTGGGCTCAGCTTCCTCCAACCACGTTTGTTTCAACAGATAAAAACCCGGTATATTCGATCCCCAGGAAATATTGCTGAAAGTCCAGATAAAGCTGTGGGGATCTGAGGTTGTAGAGGCTCCGTAAACTGGGACCCAGGCACACCTGATCTTGCTGTTATTTGTTATGTGCTCTTGTCGGAGGCTCAGGTTCTCCATGAGTAAAATAGGTTGAGAGTAACCTAACATCTAGAAGTCAAAGTGGCTTGCAAACTACACTGGGAATAGTGGAATATGCCTATAATCCCAGCACAGGGGAGGTGGGAGCCGGAAGATCAGAAGTTCAAGGTCATCCTCAGCTAAACAGATATAGATAGACAAGGCTGACCTGGACTACAGGAGACTCTCTGTTTTAAAAAAAAAATGATTTGAAAACTGTCAAGGTACAGGAGAGACTATTGAGTCATAAAATAATGGCAATGATTGTCAAGTCCCTGGGATTTATGGAAAGGGAAGAAGGGGTGGGTGCCCTCTCTCTGAGTACAGAGGTTCTTGGGTTTCTCCAGTGGAGATCTGGATTGCAAGAGAGTAATTCAGCCTAGTCCATACAAGAAGAAACTGAAACCTAACAAGCTCTCCTGAACTTTCCTGAGCCACTGAGCTGCAGATCCAAGAACAAGAGGCCCATTGGACTGGAGCCGTTAGGTCCCCACTTTCCTCCTCCTTTGGATGGGGCCCAGGAGATCAGGGGAGCAGGAAGCTACCCTCAAAGTGGAGACTCAGGCCCCCAGGCCCCCCATTAGCCCTCCTTCTGAGCCCAGCCCTCTCCCCTCCCCTGTGTAAGTCCTCCCACATTCCTCCAGGCAACAGGAAACCCCAGCTGCAGCCCAGACTTCAAACAGCTCCTCCCTCTGGGGCAGGGGGTGTGGGAGGAGAGGCCAGAGGCCACAGGGCAAAGGTCAGCTTTGTTCCTGCCAGAGGTGGTGAGGGACCTGGAGAAGACAGAGGGGGGCAGGGTAGGGCCCTTGACAGCTACACCGCATGTGTGTAAATTCCTGTGCCCATCAGGGTGTGCAAGGTCCTGGCTCTCTCCATGTCTAGGGGTAAATGTCTGTCCTTGGTTTGCTTTCAGTTATCTCTCTGACTGTAGGTCAGCGGTCAGCACGTTGTTGTCTGTGAGTGCTTAGCCTGGGACAGCACTGATAAGTCTGCAGGTATTATCTAGTTTATCATATGCTGGGTTCACAGGCCTGGTCAGAGCTGTGTGTCCTATGAGCGTGACCTGGTGTGGTGTTGTATGTTCACAATGGGTATCCTCTTGCCTCGTCTCCTATCAACCCCACACAGGTCACCAGGGGTTTTCTTCTGAAAAGTGGATTTGGCCTTGTTTACTCCCACACTCAAAACCCTCCAGGGGCTCAACATAGTAGTGTTTTTTGTTTTGTTTTGTTTTGGTTTGGTTTGGTTTGGTTTTGGTTTTTCAAGACAGGATTTCTCTGTAGCTTTGGTGCCCATCCCGGAACTAGCTCTTGTAGACCAATCTGGCCTCGAACTCACAGAGATCCGCCTGCCTCTGCCTCCTGAGTGCTGGGATTAAAGGTGTGCGCCACCACCGCCGGGCTTCAACACAGTGGTTTATGCCTGTACCCTGGCACTCAGGAGGTTGGAGGTAAATCTAAGGTTAACCTGGACTACATAGTTCCAAGCTAACCTGACCTGTAGTATGAGACCCTGTTTCAAAAACAAAACAAAACAGGGGGTTAGGGGAATGCCTTCTGGATTTACAGTTGTTCTTCTGAGGACCAGAGTTCGATTCCTAGCACCCGCCCACCTTTGGCAGTCCACCACCATCTGTGACTTCAGCTCCAGGGGGTGGCACACCTTTGGCATTCACAGACACTGACACTGCATGTATGTGTACACATTCAAATACACACATATACACACATAAAATAAAAAGCAACAAAACTCTTCTTTGGCTTCCTGTCACCCAAGGGTTAGAATCCCAGCCAAGTATAAGGTTTACCAGAACCTAGCTAACTCACCATCTTCCTTTCTAGCAGCTAACCCTGGAGAGTAGAGCTCCCCTCCAGTCAACCCTGCCTAATGTAGGCAATATTCTTCCCAGCAGTTTTGATATCCTGCCTCTGGGTTCACTTAATTCTGTCTCTTGCTTCTTTAAAAAAAGAATAAGAGCAGGGCAGTGGTGGCGCACGCCTTTAATCCCAGCACTCGGGAGGCAGAGGCAGGCGGATCTCTGGGAGTTCGAGACCAGCCTGGTCTACAAGAGCTAGTTCCAGGACAGGCACCAAAGCTACAGAGAAACCCTGTCTCGAAAAACCAAAAAAATAAAGTAAAATAAAATAAAATAGAATAGAATAAGAAATTTTTTTGAGTGGGGTACTTTGATACAGGGCTTCAAATAGCCCAGACAGACCTGAAACTAACTCACGGTGTAGCTGTGGAGGATCTTGAATTCTCAATTCTCCTGCCTCCGCCTCCCAAGGGCTGACATCGCAGGCTTGCTGCAGCAGACTACCCCTCCCCACTCCCTTTCTTCTCTAATCTCTTCGTATGTGAAACAAGGTCTCTCCATATGTCGCTCATGTTCACCTCAAATTCACAGTCCTCAAGTGCCAG